TATGCTTTATCGCAAAATCGTAAGTAAATCAACTAAGGGGACGAGGTTGGTGCATGATGATACTGGTTTTTTTATTTCGTCCTTTTGACATGATAGTAAACTCGTTTAAAATCAAAAACGAAATTCTTGAATGCAGGCTTTCTGCACTGTATCTACTGTATGACAGCTAACTCCTTATCACTACCGTGACTGAATCTCGTCCATTGTGCTAATGCTGAAAGGAACCGCATATAGACCAAACAAGGCCGACAATTTTGCTGGAACTACAGGATTAATGAGATGAACTGAATTTCAACATCGGCGTGGCCTCAAAGGCATTAGCTGAGGCGGTGGCTTCTTCATAGCGTTATTTTTTTCTCCTGTGGTTGCCGTAATAGGGAAATTGTTTTAGCGATTGGCACGAAAAGAAAACTCTGTCTGTTCTTTGTTTGTGGCTGTAAGTCGTCACGATGCTTAATCGTTTAGGTATCATTGTGTAGTTGGGCGCATGTACTCGATATTTGCGCATTGGAATACGTGCTGTTAGTCCATCGCAAAGTGAGGTAGATTCGATTGTAAATTTTCTTTTTTGGAATGTGTAGCTCTTAGATTTCAACTACAACACTACGGGTATTCAAACTCCGATATATTTTGCTATTCATGCGCCACTTTTCTTTGTCAGTTTGTTACCATTTTTCTATCCTAAAGATTAAAGACCTCCTGCTTTTGTTTCTTTTGATAACAAAGTCTGTTTTCTTTCAGTTATCAAGATGCGAACAACAGAGCGTTGTTCTGCTATACTGCTTCCCTCAAGTGGCTTGGTATTCGCCTCGATTCTTTAAGTTCAGTCCTAGTTACTGTTGTTATTTTAGCCGCCATTTTCCTTTCTGGTGATACAGGTAAATGACTTATGCTCTTTGCTATCATATGTTGTAACCAACCTGCTAGAAGTTCATTATAACACGGCGGCGAGTGATAAGAGCTAAGAAATTGTCTCGTACCCGAGAAAACAGAATTCCTCTTCAGCTCTTTTTATTTTGCAGACCCCAAAACTGAAGGCAAAGCACAATCTTTCCTCGGATTCTTGCAGCTCGGCGGCTAATATTTCCTCTGTACGTACCTCCTCCTCTATTTTCCCTCGGAAGAAAGTTTTTAGGTGATAAATTTGTCAAAATCGTCACCGTGGAGGACACGCTGCTTGGGTCCTGGGAGTAATTTCGCAGGGATTTGAAGAGCAGTGTGTTTTCCAGTGATACAACTTTATTTCATTTCCTCAGCTTTATCAGGCTTATCAATAAGCTATTGTCTGCAGCTTACCAACACAGTTCAGTGGATGCTTCAAGCCATCGGAGAAACGGAGAATTACATGACGTCCGTTGAACGGGTTTTGAGCTACACAGAACTTCAGCCAGAACCAGGGTACGACACANGATACTTAAATAAAATCAAATTAAGATTTTTGTTTCGATATTTTGAGTCATAAACCAAAGTAGGTATAATGCCAAGTGTTTCTTTTCCTGGACTTATTGTTAAACAGCTTGGTCCCAGTTGCCATGTTTATTGTATTTATTTCAGTGTTTAATTGAATGCTATTAGTGGAGAAGACAATGATGGATTTCGGTAGACCGCAGACACGAAGAGCTAAAATTGATCCGATCATATTTTCGTCCCAGATTTCCTCCTTGTCAAAGTGGTCTATTCATATTTTTCTTTAATTTTCTCGTGGAGTTAAATTTTTCGCCTGGGCTAAATTTCTGGTCTTGACGATTGTCTTCAGACTCTGCGAAAACGATAGCTAATTGTTTTCCAACGATATTCTGGTATTGTGGGACGATCCACTGGTTAATTTGATTGACTCTCTGAATGCAAGTTTAGAAACCTTTTCAGGTGTTTATTTTGCCGTTCTTTAATTTAAAATACAAGTAACAAGATTGTGCATAATTCTCTCTGTAAGGAGGGAAAAATTTTTTTATTGGGAAGGGTAGAATCGGTGTATTGATGCAACGAAGCAATTGTCCAAACTTTCAGCAAAGAGGAACATTCGATTACATACAAGAATGTCACCGACGTGACCCGCTTCAAATCTACAAGAAGTAAGTAAGAGAAGAAAGGAAGAGAACTGAAAGAAAAGAGTCTCGACGCAAAATAGTTGGTCTGAAGTGATGATGCTCTGAGAAAATCGTATGCGTCTTTTTAAATGCAAGTGACAAATTTTGTGCGATCTTTTGAGGTGCTCGCACTACCTTGGAGATATTTCTCAAAGCATCAAATGCACAACCTTAATTTTTCATTGTGTTACGTAAATCCAGGTGTAAATTAAGAAATCTCTTTATGAAGACGACTATGAGGAATTCAGAGGGCAGCTAATCTACAGAAAATCTTAATTTTACCCTATCTTGGCAGGTTTTGAAATTCTTGAAAAGCGCAGTAGTCATACGGAGTCCACTTTTGCTTTTTCATTTCGTTAACAATTGAAGTTAGTTTAAAATTGTGTATGACTTCACATTAAAATACTATTTTTTTGTCAATGTTATCATTGCTTTTCTAGCATGAAAAGAACAATTACAATTTCAGAATGCTATACGCATATTATCCCATTCCACAACCACCAGCAGTACAATCCACTGATATACATGAGCTTGGATTATAAATTATCCTACACCCAGTTTTGGCAAATCCTTTCTTTCTAGCAAGCGTCGAAATTGACTGCTCCTCCAGGACTTGCTTGGGTTTGTTCTCGATAACACTGCGGGGTGGTATTGTAATAGTCGATTGATCAGTGAAGACAATCAGGATTTAAAATTATATAGCTAATCAACGCATTTAGTTTCACTTTAATTTGAAGTTTCCTCTTCGACTTCGTATCATGAAAATAAGTGGAAGAGTCTGCTAACAAAAAAAAAAAACTCATTTCATAAATTGTAGCTTTAACTCCATGATTTTTGCTGTGATTTACAAATACCTCAATAAACATTGTTTTATCAATCGAACTTCTTTGAATCGCTGAGAATTCTGAGCACTCTTAACAATTTAACATCCAGGATTTTACGAGATTGTCTACTTCTAGTTCTCCTGAGATTTCTAAAATTGATAATGATCTTGCCATAGCAAGAGATATAATTCTGAAAATAAGCGCTCTTGTTAGTTATGCATCTTGATTTGATCCTCTTTTGCCAAAGTTTATCGGCTCTGCACTTAA